TCTCCTGATGTGCTCAATGAAAAGGTCTTTGACAGGGACGTGCACCAGCATGACCTCTTACATGTGCGGCATCTCATCGCCTATTTCTCCTGATGTGCTCAATGAAAAGGTCTTTGACAGGGACGTGCACCAGCATGACCTCTTACATGTGCGGCATCTCATCGCCTATTTCTCCTGATGTGCTCAATGAAAAGGTCTTTGACAGGGACGTGCACCAGCATGACCTCTTACATGTGCGGCATCTCATCGCCTATTTCTCCTGATGTGCTCAATGAAAAGGTCTTTGACAGGGACGTGCACCAGCATGACCTCTTACATGTGCGGCATCTCATCGCCTATTTCTCCTGATGTGCTCAATGAAAAGGTCTTTGACAGGGACGTGCACCAGCATGACCTCTTACATGTGCGGCATCTCATCGCCTATTTCTCCTGATGTGCTCAATGAAAAGGTCTTTGACAGGGACGTGCACCAGCATGACCTCTTACATGGGCGGCATCTCATCGCCTGTTTCTCCTGATGGCTCAATGAAAAGGTCTTTGACAGGGACGTGCACCAGCATGACCTCTTACATGGGCGGCATCTCATCGCCTGTTTCTCCTGATGGCTCAATGAAAAGGTCTTTGACAGGGACGTGCACCAGCATGACCTCTTACATGGGCGGCATCTCATCGCCTGTTTCTCCTGCTGTGCTCAATGAAAAGGTCTTTGACAGGGACGTGCACCAGCATGACCTCTTACATGTGCGGCATCTCATCGCCTGTTTCTCCTGATGTGCTCAATGAAAAGGTCTTTGACAGGGACGTGCACCAGCATGACCTCTTACATGTGCGGCATCTCATCGCCTGTTTCTCCTGATGTGCTCAATGAAAAGGTCTTTGACAGGGACGTGCACCAGCATGACCTCTTACATGGGCGGCATCTCATCGCCTGTTTCTCCTGCTGTGCTCAATGAAAAGGTCTTTGACAGGGACGTGCACCAGCATGACCTCTTACATGGGCGGCATCTCATCGCCTGTTTCTCCTGCTGTGCTCAATGAAAAGGTCTTTGACAGGGACGTGCACCAGCATGACCTCTTACATGTGCGGCATCTCATCGCCTGTTTCTCCTGATGTGCTCAATGAAAAGGTCTTTGACAGGGACGTGCACCAGCATGACCTCTTACATGTGCGGCATCTCATCGCCTGTTTCTCCTGCTGTGCTCAATGAAAAGGTCTTTGACAGGGACGTGCACCAGCATGACCTCTTACATGGGCGGCATCTCATCGCCTGTTTCTCCTGATGTGCTCAATGAAAAGGTCTTTGACAGGGACGTGCACCAGCATGACCTCTTACATGGGCGGCATCTCATCGCCTGTTTCTCCTGATGTGCTCAATGAAAAGGTCTTTGACAGGGACGTGCACCAGCATGACCTCTTACATGTGCGGCATCTCATCGCCTGTTTCTCCTGATGTGCTCAATGAAAAGGTCTTTGACAGGGACGTGCACCAGCATGACCTCTTACATGTGCGGCATCTCATCGCCTGTTTCTCCTGCTGTGCTCAATGAAAAGGTCTTTGACAGGGACGTGCACCAGCATGACCTCTTACATGGGCGGCATCTCATCGCCTGTTTCTCCTGATGTGCTCAATGAAAAGGTCTTTGACAGGGACGTGCACCAGCATGACCTCTTACATGTGCGGCATCTCATCGCCTATTTCTCCTGATGTGCTCAATGAAAAGGTCTTTGACAGGGACGTGCACCAGCATGACCTCTTACATGTGCGGCATCTCATCGCCTATTTCTCCTGATGTGCTCAATGAAAAGGTCTTTGACAGGGACGTGCACCAGCATGACCTCTTACATGTGCGGCATCTCATCGCCTGTTTCTCCTGATGTGCTCAATGAAAAGGTCTTTGACAGGGACGTGCACCAGCATGACCTCTTACATGTGCGGCATCTCATCGCCTGTTTCTCCTGATGTGCTCAATGAAAAGGTCTTTGACAGGGACGTGCACCAGCATGACCTCTTACATGTGCGGCATCTCATCGCCTATTTCTCCTGCTGTGCTCAATGAAAAGGTCTTTGACAGGGACGTGCACCAGCATGACCTCTTACATGTGCGGCATCTCATCGCCTATTTCTCCTGATGTGCTCAATGAAAAGGTCTTTGACAGGGACGTGCACCAGCATGACCTCTTACATGTGCGGCATCTCATCGCCTGTTTCTCCTGATGTGCTCAATGAAAAGGTCTTTGACAGGGACGTGCACCAGCATGACCTCTTACATGTGCGGCATCTCATCGCCTGTTTCTCCTGATGTGCTCAATGAAAAGGTCTTTGACAGGGACGTGCACCAGCATGACCTCTTACATGTGCGGCATCTCATCGCCTATTTCTCCTGCTGTGCTCAATGAAAAGGTCTTTGACAGGGACGTGCACCAGCATGACCTCTTACATGTGCGGCATCTCATCGCCTATTTCTCCTGATGTGCTCAATGAAAAGGTCTTTGACAGGGACGTGCACCAGCATGACCTCTTACATGTGCGGCATCTCATCGCCTATTTCTCCTGATGTGCTCAATGAAAGGTCTTTGACAGGGACGTGCACCAGCATGACCTCTTACATGTGCGGCATCTCATCGCCTGTTTCTCCTGATGTGCTCAATGAAAAGGTCTTTGACAGGGACGTGCACCAGCATGACCTCTTACATGTGCGGCATCTCATCGCCTGTTTCTCCTGATGTGCTCAATGAAAAGGTCTTTGACAGGGACGTGCACCAGCATGACCTCTTACATGTGCGGCATCTCATCGCCTGTTTCTCCTGATGTGCTCAATGAAAAGGTCTTTGACAGGGACGTGCACCAGCATGACCTCTTACATGTGCGGCATCTCATCGCCTATTTCTCCTGATGTGCTCAATGAAAAGGTCTTTGACAGGGACGTGCACCAGCATGACCTCTTACATGTGCGGCATCTCATCGCCTGTTTCTCCTGATGTGCTCAATGAAAAGGTCTTTGACAGGGACGTGCACCAGCATGACCTCTTACATGTGCGGCATCTCATCGCCTGTTTCTCCTGATGTGCTCAATGAAAAGGTCTTTGACAGGGACGTGCACCAGCATGACCTCTTACATGGGCGGCATCTCATCGCCTGTTTCTCCTGCTGTGCTCAATGAAAAGGTCTTTGACAGGGACGTGCACCAGCATGACCTCTTACATGGGCGGCATCTCATCGCCTGTTTCTCCTGATGTGCTCAATGAAAAGGTCTTTGACAGGGACGTGGACCAGCATGACCTCTTGCATGTGCGACATCTCATTGCCTATTTCTCCTTATGTGCTTTCTTGTAATATGCGAACGATGTGCTATTGTTTTCCCTCCAATTTTCGTCTCTTTTCCGTGTTTTTCAGGCAGGATAAGGTTCTCTAATGTGGATGTCGATGGAGGAGGGATGGGCATCAATTCCAACCGTTGGTTAGCTGGAGAAATGCTCTGCTGTTTAACTGCTGAAGTGCTGCTGAGAACTGCGGCTGCTCTGCTGTGAAGGACTGCTTGAGGATTACTCCTGGCCACCAGGAAGCATTATGTCTACCAGTAAGCTGGCACAGCAGAGGCTTCCATAACTGGTGCTGATCCAGAATCGTCATGCCTGGGAAGCAGGTCCGGGACGCCGGCCGTCCCGCGGCGTACATGGGAGTAGAAATTTGAGTTCTACTTCATGGCCAGAACTGGTGCAACCTCTCTGCCTGCCGAGCAGCGGCGCGCCCTTCTTCTGTGCGCTATCGGCGACGCTTTCGGCAGTTTGGACCCATAGAGTCAGAACTGATCCGGGACGTGGTAGCTGAAAGGACTTACCACCAGCGTCTCCGCTAAAGGTACCTTCAGTACACCTGACCCTGGAGAAGGTGCCCAGTCTCGCGGAGAGCTACCAGCACTCCTTGCGTGAGGCAGTCGTCATCACTGCTCCAGCAACAGCAATAGTGTCACCTGCAGCCACAGTGGCGAGGTCACCAGGACCAGAGGTCATCGGCAGCGTCCTCAGCAGCAGCTGAACGATAGCACTAGTGACCGCTACACCAATGGTGGATGTGTTGACCATGCCCCAAGGGATGCAGCCTGCCCTACCCGCAAGATTGTCTGTCACTCCTGCGGAAAGTAGGGGCACTTCATCAGCTGGCGCTGTGGTGGCAGCAGCGCAGCCATTGCCCGATCAGCCGAGCGAGGTCACAAACCAGCTGTCAAGGAGCTCTACGTCCTAGCCTGCTCCTCATAGGCCGCTGGCCCAACTCGCCTCACCTGTACTGTCCAGGCGACAGCTGGTGGCACCACCCAGGATGTGTCAATGCAGGTGAACACAGGTGCAACATGTTCCCTGCTGAGCCTCAGCCATGCCAAGCAATCCTCCCTGGTGTGGCCTACCAGTCATCCAGCGCGCGGCTGATGCGTTACACCAAGGTCCCGTTCGACCTGGTGTCCAGTGGCAGCGCCTTCCAAAAACTCCTGGCGAATCCCCTTCAGGACATCGAGGGCTGTGGCCACGACCCGGATGACATCATGGTGGCTGACCGCGACCAGCAGGAGCATGACAAGCGTCTCCGCACTGTGATAGACCGCCTCCGTCAGGCCAACGTCACCGCGATGGACCCCCTCCGTCAGGCCAACGTCACCGCGATGGACCGCCTCCGTCAGGCCAACGTCACCGTGATGGACCCCCTCCGTCAGGCCAACGTCACCGCGATGGACCGCCTCCATCAAGCCAACGTCACCGCGATGGACCGCCTCCGTCAGGCCAACGTCACCGCGATGGACCGCCTCCGTCAGGTCAACGTCACTGCGATGGACCGCCTCCGTTAGGCCAACGTCACCGCGATGGACCGCCTCCGTCAGGCCAACGTCACCGCGATGGACCACCTCCGTCAGGCCAACATCACCGCGATGGACCGCCTCCGTCAGGCCAACGTCACCGCGATGGACCGCCTCCGTCAGGCCGACGTCACCGTGATGGACCACCTCCGTCAGGCCAACGTCACCGTCACCATGTATAAGTCCTCGTTCAGCCAGACGGAGGTGGAGTTCTGCGGACATCATCTGTCCCAGACCGGAGTGGTCCCACTCCTGTCTGCCACCAAGGCCGTGGTCGAGGCCCCGCCTCCCACTAACGTGAAGGAGCTCCGTAGCCTCCTGGGCACAACTGGCTGGTTCAGCCGGTTCGTGCCCCAGTACTCATCAGGGGTCAGGTATCTCACTGCCATGCTGGGGAAGGACGCCATCTTCCAATGGACCCAAGAGGCCGACGACGCTTTCAGGGAACTGAAGCGGCTCATTTCTGCCAGACTGGTGATAAAGCCCTTCAACCCGAGCCTCCACGCTTTCGTGCGCGCGTTGGGCCAGCTCCAGGTACTTGGTGCGCAGGGCGGCCAGGACGATGGCGCGGTCCGGACCCTGCAGCACGATGCCGTCTTCATGGACCAGCATCTCGTGCCGCACGGCGTAGAACTCGCGTGTCTGTGGCGTGCACTTTCGCGCGGCGTCTGGCCAGCCGGTGCGGATGGTCGACCGCAGCTCCTCCAGGACTGGATCGCCGGCGGACGCGGCGCGGATGGCGTCGTTCGTGATCACGTCGGCGGCCTCGTCGGTGACAATGGCGACGGTTTCGTCCCTATCAGTCTCGGCGGCGGCCGTATCCGACAGCAGGAGGCGGGACAGGGTGTCGGCGACGGGGATGCTGTGGCCGGGGCGGTACTCCACCGTGTACGAGTACGGCAGCAGACGTCCCTGCCGTCTGACGATCCGCGCGCCGGCGCGTTTGGCCGACTTCGGCGTGAGCAGAGTCGTGAGCACCGAGTGGTCCGTCCTCAGGGTGAAGAAGCGGCCCCACAGGTACGCTCGCCAGTGCTCCAGGGCGTTGACGGCACTGAGGGCCTCCTTTTCAGAGACAGAGTAACATGACTGTGTCGGTGAACGATCGCGCCCAGCACGCGACGGGGGGCTCATCACCGTCTGGCTGAACCTAGGTTAGACGGCACCCGATTGCACCACATGGGTGAGTTCTGTTCAGCTCATACTTCAGGGGCAATCCTGGCAAAATTTACGGCGAGGATTCCATTGCCAAGACTATTGGCCATCCCACAAGATGAACATGGCGAAAACTCATTTGATTTGTTCCATTTTTTCTGAGCACTTCCACGGGCAAACATCAACAAACGAGGGCTTGGAACCGTAACTAGGACAGATAGGACAGCATTATTTTTCCAAGTGGACTGGCGGTGTTTGCCCTGAGTTTGCTGTTTTATTATTTATTTCAGACATTGTTATCAAGTGCACCTATTGATAACTGACCACTACCGTTGTTGCTATCAGCCGCAGGCCATCCATTGCGAGGGCAAAGGGCGAGTGCCTCAAACGACCTAAACTCACCCGTTAATGACTGAGGGGATCGGAAAGCAGCAGCTCGAAAAAGACCTATCGAGACAACATCGTATTCTGCTATAGACAGTTGGCAGTTATCATGCTCCAGTCTTTGTAATGACAGCGATAAGTTTGTTGGGATCGTCCTAGCAAAATACCCTACAACGCTCTACTTCTTCCTCATAAAATATAGACGTTTCGCTTGGTCACGTTGCTAACTGCCACCATTAATAATTTCATGCTATTGTGACCGCAGAAAGACACAACTCAGGTCATGCAGGTACTCCATGTAAGTGGCCTCACGTAAAGGTGTCCCACACAAGTATTCCGGGAGAGTGCATGTGTAGTCCATTTCTGCACTGCTACTTGACACAGCTGCTCTCAATATTATCGACCTCGGTAAACGACTGAACGAAGCATCAGCTCTTTCAGTACCAAAATCTATGTGCATGAGAAAACCATGCGCACTCAGGCCGTGGGGCTGTGATCCGAGGCACTGAATATCGCCGTTTTCAGGGGCCATCCCGCGCAGCACACCACGCTACGGTGTCTACGGCAACAAAATGAAATAGTTACCAGGAAAATGGTTTCGCCGGGAGAGACCGCGACCACGGCAGGAAACATCGCACTGACAACGGCGGCAACGGCGACGCATAGCATCCGTTGAATGGTTTAGGGGTAATTGCATCGGACATGATAACAGGGAAGTGCATGTTTTGTGCAATGATGCTGTTGTCGAGTCAATTTCGGTAAAACACATAGTGAATAAACGTTGGTCTGGCTCGTTATTGATGACATGAGGCGGTCTGCCTGGAATTACGGCGGTCCATTAATCAGGTGGAATATGAAAGGGCAGGTCGATAAGGCCCAAAGGACATCCATCTGGGGTGGTTGAAAGGTCCCATCTGGGTTAGAAATATGGGTCCCGTATGGGCTGGTTACATGGGTCACAGGTGGGCACACCCATGTGGGCCCAAGCTGAACATACCCACGTGGGTTCCAACTGAGTAGCCCGGTTGGGCCACATGTGGGTCACAGTTAGACCCCACGTGGGCACCAGGTGGGCTGCCCATGTGGGGCCCAGGTGGCCTTGCTTACGTGGGCCCCAACTGAGCAGCCCATGCGGGCCCATGTGGATTTCATCTTGGCTTCATATGAGCCCAGGTGGGCTGCCAATGTGAGGCTCAGTTGGTTGCCCATGACATGCTCACATGGGACCGAAATGGGTCTTAACTGGGCAGCCCAGGCGGGCCCATGTAGGTCCCAGCTTTGCCTCATACGGGCCCCAGGTGGGCTGCCCATGTGATACCCAGTTGGTTGCTCATGACATGCCCACATGGGACCGAAGTGGGCAGCCTTGATGGCCCCATATGACTGCCCATCTGGGACCCACATGGGTCCCAGTTGGACATGCTGGCTGGGCAGAGACCCATTTCTCAGGCAAGAACAGAGCTGGGGCCCGTTATTTGCAATTTTTGGGGTCCCTGACGCAATGGGGGTTTCCGTGAAAGTCAGGGACCACAGTACCTAAAATGGATTCCGGGTCGGTAAGTACCTGGAGATGCCCCGCCCCGGGTCGGCCAGGTGCCGCAATCGAGGGGACATGAAGAAAGGTCTGAAGCGTCTCTCGAGACCAAAGATCAAGGGCCCAACTGGAAGGCTGGAGCGGTCCAAAGGTCATATTAAGTGTATGTAAGTTCTACTGTTCGGGCGTCTCGCCTCACGCCTAAGGTACCCACAGCACGACCATTAATCCACTTCTGTATGACACTCGTCACAGGCACTCCACAGTTCGTCCCGCCGGCGAGACCGTCCCTGCGCCGGCGGCTCTTCAAGTCTTCTCCTCGTTACTACCTACTCTCCTCGCCACCGCGGCCGCGTCCCTCGCACAGAGTGCCTGGGGTAGGAGGAGGGGAACGCGAGCGTCTCCAAGTGGCGCTCGCCAAACTATGCAAACATTCACTGGCTTCTACATAGGTGTTCTCTGGCACCTTACATGTAGGTAGGTGACAAAAGAACCTCCGCCCATGATCTCACGTCAGTTAGAGATCCTCTTGCACCGATATGACGAGGTAGTCCCGATCTTTAAGAAAGGTAACCGACAGTCCCCAGCGAGCTACCGCCCAGTGAGCCTTATTGCCATGCTCTCCAAGATACTCGCGTTTTGTTGCGGGAGACAACGCGACGCGGTGTGTTGCGCGGGATGGCCCCTGAAAATGGCGATATTCAGTACTTCAGATCACTGTCCCATGGCCTGAGTGTAAGTGATCAGTCATGTACACCAATTGTGGTACTGAAAGAACTGATCTTTTGTTAAGTCGTTTGCCGAGTTTGAAATGATAAGAGCATTTATGTCGAATAGCAGTGCACAAATGCACTATGCATTAGGGTGTATCATCGAGGGGTGAATCTCTTGGAATCATCTGAGACAAAGTTTTTCCTTGGCACACGGATTAATGATAATCTTTTAGGTCTGTCGCACCGTACCAATGTTGGTATTCGTGAGGCGAGAGCAGTTTTGCTTTGATAGGCCAAGAAAACCGTACTCGATACTAGCGCCACCTATTTTACGCACTGGGATGATCCTCCGACAAGCCTCAAAGCTGCCACTTGCCACACTACTGGTACTTGGTGGATTAAGTATCAGATAACATAAAGAGCGCCAGCAAAACATTGCTAAATAGCTTTTAAGTCGACTTTTTAGTGCAGAATATTAAGTTTTGGTCAAAACTAAAGCTGTGCAGTCATTAAAATGCTGCAACAGACCGGGTTGTGTTCAAGTTTGTTGTTGCTAGGGCATCATTGTGGTGTTGATTTGCAATTTGTGCGCTCTTTGCGCGGGGCATATGGATTTATTAGTTTTATTTTGCCGGCACTGGAACTTTTCTTTTAAACAATTACATAAGCATGCTGAAGGCTACGCGGTCGCGCACAAAACAATTTGTGATAGGCCACCCGGCTCCACCGTCCCACCACCAACTGCAAACAACGGGGAAGTCTTGAGCTACATCAGGTGGCTGAGCGAGTCGAAGAGAAATCTCACTTATACCATCTTCAAGACCGACGATAGAAATAAAGGTACTGTGGACCACCGAAGCCATCCCTGTTCATGATCTAAAACACGTAACAAAATTGATCGAGAGGGGTTGAAATCATCCCAACAGAGCTATCAGCAAGAAATCAAAGAAAGAAAGAGAGTAACACAGTAACGCCGCCACCGCAAAATTCAACAAGCTTCTTGATGTCGCGAAATGCAAGTGCAAGCCCCAGTGCAGCTTTCCATGCCAAGTTGCCTGCACAGTGTATCAGGAGGAGGTTGCCATGAAGGACCCGTGCAGGCACCGGAAGCTTACCCTAGGGTAATATGACCGGAATACGATTGTGGCTAGGGAGGCTCGCAAGGTGCGAAGGATGACCAAACAATTCCAGGGGCGTCGTGGCTCGGCCGCATGTGAGGCGGTGTCTGCTGCTGAACCTGAGTCGCTTTCCCCGCTCCCTGCCGAGCCCGAGCCGCCTATTGAACCAGCCTCGACTGCTAGTGCTGACCCCAAGCCTGCTCCGGGACCAAGTAGTCTCAGCGCCGGCGAGTCAGCCGAGAGCACGGATTCTTACACGGTTCCGTACACGATAGAAGGTGGCGACGACGCCAGTCGTTCGTCCCGGTTGAGACCACTATCGCTGCGGATTATAACATTAACGATCTGACTAACACCGCTCTGGCGGCTGACAGCTACGTTGGCTCGAACCGGGTCGCTGCTGCTATCATCAACGCCTTTCAACGATACAGCGGAGACGGGCTGGTTATTTGAAGTCAAATATCGTAGATCCCAAGGCCATCTGCTCCGTAAGAGACAGGGCGAGAAAAGAGACGGCTCGTTAAAATTTTGAAGCAGTCCAAGAGTCAGGTTTGACCATCCTCTACTCCGACGGCCGCGGAGGCAGGAGCTGAATGAGCCACACGAAGCCAGACGAATGCCGCCGAAAAACACGTGGCTGTGATCACTGAGCCATGCAGCCGCTATTTGATTCATTTTACGTCCGAGTTCGGTCGCGCCCTGCACTTATTCAACGAGCTACACTCCGTGAGCCCGCAGTGCCACGGTCGCATCAATGTGTTCGGCTGCGATGGCACGGCCGTCAACACTGAAAAGATAGGCGACGTGCTCCGGCTGTTTCAGCTGGCCACCGAGTCACCCGTACGCTGGTTCATCTGCCAGCTGCACGGGCAGCAAGCTGAACCTCCTCCATCTTCTGCTGAGCTTGGGCGGCACGACCGCGGGATCGAATTTTTTTCTGGGCCCATCGGCAAGACCTGCGCCGGAGAGGTCTGAGGGAGGGACGTTGTGGCATTCAAGCCTAGGTCGGGGTCCGTGCCAAACCTGCCGGTCGACCTGATTCAGCAGCTGAGCACCAACCAGCAGCTGCTGTACCTTCTGCATCACGTGAGTTGTCTTAGAGAAGTGAAAGTCTAAAGCAATACTAACCAGCATGCTCGTACGACGAGTTATAAGGTTTCCGCCAAATGAGAATCAATCGGGCAGTGTCTGATCCGCATATTAGACCCTAAACCGGGACATTCTCGTACGACGGCTTAAGAAGCGCTCGGTAGCATCGTTTCTATACGCAAAGGTATCTTGTGTCGCTTGCCGCCCACGGCTTGGTGTTACCTGCGGCGACGGACGCCGCCCAGCTTCGGGTGCCTGCAACGCCGGGCTTCGGTTTTCGGCGATATTTCGATAGACTCGAGCCTCACGAATTTAAGTTTTTGGAAAGAGCTTTTGCTATGCCGTGTACTTTTGGACTCCTGTGCCAAAAAATGTATTTGTCTCACTTGGTTTTGTTACTGATGACACACTCTTCCATGCATGCACTTTCTCGGAGTACATGTATGGAAAAAAATTAATGAGAGGTCATGGAGTTCTGCATGAAACCCGACTCGAGTTATATCTTCCTGCGGTCGCATTAGC